CCATTAAACTTTATTTTTAGAAATGTACAAAATGAACATAAATATACATATATACACGGTATATCATCCATTCCTCCTCCTCGCATCTTGCCTGCGCACAGCCGGTGCGGTGCCTTTTAGCACGAGGCCTCAGTAGTAGTAGAATCCCTTCCCCGTCATGGATTGTCCGCCAGGATCTGGCTGGACGAAATCAAATGCAAATCACAAAATATTAGAGAAACTTAGTTGTTTTAGACTCGTTAGTAGTAGTTGTGTAATGAACAGCTTGCCTGCTAATATGCTAACCTAGCTTTGTTTACCTTGGTAGCTAACACGATATGAACGTTAGCTTGGAGGAAAGGCAACTATAATGCAGTGTAATAAAACTACTATGAACAAAAGCTAGTGGTTCATATTAGGCTAGCAATAACGTGTTTATAATTGCAATCGTATACGGGTATTCTGCTACGTTCGGTCATACAATGTAACTTGCATGAATACATTGTTTTGCGCTAGCATACAGCTAGCCTCGTTAGCTACATGCAGTATATGTACGGTCACAATGTACGGTAAATCACAGTACAGTATACTGTATGAGTATTCCGTGTGTGTGACTGCAGACATTCTCCTGCCATGACAAACATGTAAGGCCATCTGCTGACATTGTAGTTGATATATTTAAACGCTAGCAACGTAGCATCACAAAAAATGTTTTTCTGACCAAAACTAGCTCTAGCTCCGTGTGTTAGATCGCTACGCCAGCTATAATGTAATTACGTTTCGCGACTGACCGGCAAATCACCCGGAGTATACTGTCAATAGGTATTTTGTGTGTGAATGCAGACATTCTCCTGCTATGAGATACATGTATGCAAGGCCATCTGCTGATATTAGAGTTGATATATGGAAACTCTAGCAACTTAGTTAGCACAGTTAGCACTGTGTCAATGGCTTAGCACAGGGTTGCCAACTCTCACGCATCTGGCGTGTGACACACGCTTTCACTCTCAATCTCACGCTCTCACGCTGCCCAAACTATTCTCACGCCAAAAACAAGAATACGAAGACAAGAAACGGTTTTGAAAACTTTTGTCACGTAGTGATCGTCTTCTCAATAGAACATCTTTGATAATGTCTTCTGGCCAATCAGAATCACGATAACGGCGTGGTGTTGTTGCAGGAAGTCCCGACGGAGAATACTTTTGCGGTAGTACATCTCTATACATCGATACAACATTACGTGTTGATAGAAATCAACACGTAATGAAATAAGACCCCACGGTTTGATGATTGATAGGTGTGTGGGCTGTCTTTCATTTTGACACACAGAACAATGGGGGCTATCCACCCTTATCCACAATGTAAAGTAATTCACACAGCCTCTTCCCTCTCTCTGTGAGGAGCAGCAGGTTCAGCTTTCAGAACAAAGTAACAAAAAACTAATATGGCATTCATTTTTTTTAAATGTGTAGTAATAGATTTATTTATTTTTCTTCTCAAGAGAGTACCAGAATGTGTATTTTATGTTAGTATTTAAAAAAATCTCCTGGGGTAGAATCCCCCCAGACCCCCCTGCAGGGGTTGGGTTTTCAGCATGTCAACTCTTTCACTTGTGGGGAAATTGCAGGATTGGCTCCAGGTCGCCCTTTTTATTTACTACAAGACAAATGTGCCTTTTTATTTCATACAGTTCAATTTGGATTGAGACAGGGAAATAATCTAAACCTCACGCGTGGCGTTTCACTGTCGGGGGGAGCATGTAATTACATTGCAAATACTGACTTGAGCCCCACCACTGTATGGGTTAGCCCTACCATAGATTACCCAACAAAAAATACTCTGGAGCGCATGCGCAGATCCAGTAGAAATGATAAAAAAGTAACAGTCTGCTGCTTATTGTTCTACTAGGCCAAAATAGAGTCAAAGAGTATATGAGAGTGAGAGTGTGTTAATTAATATATTTGGCAGTTTGGAGTAAGTCTGTAGATTTGTTTGTGTGTGTGTTTCATGTATAGGCCTCTCACGATAATTAATTTTGTTGGATACATTTTCCCGGAAATGATTGCGATAAACGATAATATTCTCGGCACCGTTGTATGACCATTTTAGACCACTGACATAATGATAATATATAATAATAGTTCAAGTACATCCTTTCAAACTGCTAGTCACATCCTCATGTAAATGGCAATTTATCGAGGTCAGAAAAGTTATCGAGTTCATTTTTATTTATCGTACGATAAGTCAATTAATTGCTTATCGCGACAGGCACACAATAAAACAGTGGAAACAAACATGTTTGACTTTCATTAGTGAATGAAACTGTGTGCCCTTTATAGTCTGTGTCCATTATTGTGTATTTGTATATATTGTATATATATCCTATATATATGCTAAGGTCCCGCTCCTGACACGATAGCAGCCATTTCGTGCGCATATGTGTAATTAAACCGAATTAAACCCATGATATCAAAATCTCACTCCAGCCAGGTACCCAAAGTTGGCAACCCTGGCTTAGCAGTCCAACACAGTTTACACATTTAAACAGTCTTGTTTGATAAATACACAAATAACAATGCAAACTTACAGGTTGTATACCCAGATCTTCCCCTGCTCCAAACGGTCCAAACAAGCTGTGCATATCCGGCCTCAAACTGGGCAATGTTTTGGAAGCTTTCGTCTGTGAAATGCCGGTTCTTCGAACCTCTGGAGGAGGAACACGCCGCTGCTGGTGTGGCCATAGCTCTTCGGGATTGGTCCATTTCGTTCCGGGTACCGCATGACATCAGGCGGTACCCGGAACTAAATGGAAGACTCAAATGGGCAGTGACGTATCTCCAACGAGGCGTTTTGGGGAGGTATTTTCTGTGTTAGAGTTTTACTCGCTACAGGGTGTACTTTGAGGGTTTTGACTCTGCACACCGTTTACATGCATAAAAACCTTCATAACACACAAGGGGACGGGTAATAACCGGAAAAGCATGACATGGGAGCTTTAAGACCTTTTTTAAGACCCTTTCCATACATTTTAAGACCTCATCGCCACTTGGAGTTTTAACCGGTTACCTTGGCGACACACTTTACCTCACATTTACTATATACAGTATTGATCGTCCTTCCTCCTTATCTTCCAACCATTTGGACGCAAACTTGCATTTCCCCATAACGATGTTGTTTAACAACCGGCGTAAACGGACCTTCGCGCTATCAAGCAGTGAGCGTGCGATGTCCTGTTCAGATGACGTCAAATCCAACGGGATGCCATAAATAAACTACACAGAATCACACTACACACCTACGCAATGATTACATTCAGGCAGACTGTAGAATACAACCTCTTTGGACAATTTATATACTTATTGGAAACAAGCTACAAAATGTAATACTTTGGAAAATGCCGTTTAATACTTTTTAATAGCCTTCATTTTCGCTAAATTGATTTATCAACTTTTAATACTTTTTGAGACCCCGCGGACACCCTGCTACAGTATGATAGATATATTACTTTACACCCGGAAGTATGTATTGTCAATCTTATTGTCGATAAATTGAGGGATATACGCTATATTTTATTAACACCAGTATGTACTTTATACATCCACCTCGAGTGTTTGTCTCTGCACCGGAAATAATTTAATTTTAAAGTTCAACCGTATATTATATAGACTATATCAGCGCCACACCTGCGTAACACATGGTGCCTCTTGTCTGAACAATAGTTTAAGCGATTTGTAATCTATTCTTGTCGACTTGCAGCCTAAATACAAAGATAACTCCACTCTCCTACCACTGCTTACCTCTAATGAGCCTTGGTAGAGCCTTGATCAGGTGTTTGATGTGGGCTGGCATGATCCTTTCTGCAGCGATGAATAAAGAAAACAAAGAAAACATTTTTAATAATAGTAATGATGGTAACAACAATAATATTAGTATAACTATTTATATAGCACTTACACAATTGCAAAGTGATTCTCCCAACAAAAATAAAGAACAAAACAATACCAACAATAAAAGAACAAATGATTATAGGAATGTTAAGAGACAAAGAAATTATAAACATTCTGAGAGGCCGACTACAAAAGGTAGACTCAATGGCTCTTGATGACATCAATGCGCAGTCCCAATAGATGCTGCTGTATAAAAAGAAATAGAATAGGTCCAGATTTATTTTGTGTTGGATGATTTGATTTATTGATTGCTGATGGATGTATATATATATAGGGTTTATTCAACAGCAGTAAAGCATTAAGTTGCTAAATTAACGTACACTGAACTGTAAAACAACTTACCACTATTTAGGAAAGGCTCAGGAGGGTTGACTAGTAGGACAGCAAAGAGGTGGAGGAGGTCTATGTACAACCATTGGTAGATGTTACACCTGAAAGAAAGATAATGAAATAAAAGAAGACAGGAGTACAAACATCCTCTTAAAGGTGGGGTAGGTAAGTTTGAGAAACCGGCTCGAGATACACTTTTTGTTATATTCCATGGAATGCTCTTAACATCCCGATAGCAATGAATATCTGAAGTGCTTTGACAAAAAATCCATTAAAAAATATCATCTGTGGAAGCCGTAGTACTGTAAAAAGCACGACCAATCATCTGAGCCGGCCCGGCTAAAGTAACTGGATGGCCTACCTGCCTGTCAGCCTTCCATCTGTGCACAGACTTATCTCGTGCCCTCATTGGTCATGTGCGCGCTCGTGTGTGTTGGAGAAGGGGCTCTGTAAGGAAGTGGCAGATTTTTTCCGGTTGTGTATTTTCAAATTCTAGCGCACTCGAGCTGGTTTCTCCAAAATGACCTACCCCACCTTTAAGTAAAAGACCAAATCATGTCAAGCTTTAACTTGAGCCTGTTTTTTCAGTCTTTACAATGCACTGTTGGAAAATACCTTCCAAAGGCTAAATTCAAACTCAATACCATAAATAACTGGGTACCAAAGTGCTTTACCTGATAGAACACGTTCCACATGGAGCAGCAACCATCCGGCTCGGCCTTTTGCTGCATATCATCTCCTCCCTCTCCACTGTTTCCATTAGATCTCTACTGTCCAATAAAACTGAAATTCCCCAAAAAATCATATTAAAAAAGTTTAAAACAATAACTTGCTTTTGGCATTGAAATGGATTAGAATCTCACCATTTTCCTGGATGTCAGGAAGGCCAGGAAGTCATTCCCTTCAAGACCGCAACCAGTCACAGGAGTTCAAATGCAAAGCCTGAACGATGACAAGAGCGGGAGACTTACATTTTACAATTATATTTTTAATTAATACCAGAGCAGTGTGTACATAGGCCCTGTACGACATGCAGAGAACAGATCAAATCCCCTGACAGAATCACACACTTTGGTGATATCCTCTTCTGATCATGTTTCATTTTTTAGCAGCAAAGTAACATTACTCAAAGTATGTCAGACCCAACTCATTTACAGTATGTTTTGCATCTCCTCAACAATGGTCTGTATCATTGAGTAGAAAAAAACTGTCCCTACAATTTCAGGTAGATTAACACACATTTGTAAGACAAGTTTACAATGAAGCACAAAAACCCTCTTTGTATTCAGCGAGCTGCCACACAAAGTACAGCTTAACATGCTAACCTTTGGTAGAGAGCTACAGTTAGCTAACTTCATGTTCAACACAAAACCTCTAATGGCATTACATTGACAATTTTAAACAAAACGTAACTCTCTCAACTTGTAAGATAACGTTAAGTTAACTTACCCTTAAATAACTACATCACCTTTTTCAGGGGAAACACAAACTGCAGAAAACGTTAGCTGCTAAGTGTTGATAGCTAAGACAGCTAGCCTCCTAGCAAACGTAATATTAAGTTAACATTAACGTAACGTTGTAAGAAAGCAAAACGAACCTTGGATAAAGGTTTTACTATCAGACTTGGTGAAATTGTGTAGTGTTGCTTACCTCCAGAAGGACTTTTAGCGCGTTTCCCAGTAGACAGAGCTGTCAGAGCGGTGCCTCTCAGAAGAGCAGCCGCTGGGCGGAGTCACAGAAACGCTCAACTGATCTTCTTCACTCCTTGACCGTTGTGCCGTTAGTGCCAGTCAAAACATACCGCTTTGTTTCAACCACTGCCGTCTCGCCGTCCCCCGCCCTCTCTGTCTGTCTGTGTCTGTTTCAGTTTAGCCAGCAAGACTGCTGGTAGACCAGCATAAATACCAGCTTCACCAGCATCCAGCTTAACTACCAGCTAAAACCAGCATAGACCAGCATGACATCCATGCTGGTCTATGCTGGTTTAGCTGACCAGGCTGGTCTTGAACCAGCCATAACAGCTTGTCCAGCCTGGTAAACCAACTAAACCAGCTAAAACCAGCTAAAACCAGATAAAACCAGCAACCATCTTAAGCTGGTCTATAGCTGTTTTTTTCAGCAGGGTGGGAGACCAGGGGACACTAAAGAGTGACGCACACAGCTGGGAGACCAGGGGACACTAAAAGGTGACAACTGTCTGTTTTTGGAAACTTACCTAAAATGTTTTATGGTCTTATTTTAACAATGTGATCACATGACTCCTTCTGTTGTTACTGCAGATCTGCTGTAAGCTCGCTAGCTAACGTAGCTAACCTAGTCATTTCAGATATCCTGACAAACACTGACAGTTATGAGACAGACTCACTCTGAGACAGAGACAGTTGTTCAGCTTTATAATCCTGAACGTCACCAAGCGCTCCGTCCCAGCTGTGTGCGTCACTCTTTAGTGTCCCCTGGTCTCCCAGCTGTGTGCGTCACTCTTTAGTGTCCCCTGGTCTCCGAGCTGTGTGCGTCACTCTTTAGTGTCCCCTGGTCTCCGAGCTGTGGGAGACTTTTTAGTGTCCCCTGGTCTCCCAGCTGTGTGCGTCACTCTTTAGTGTCCCCTGGTCTCCCAGCTGTGTGCGTCACCTTTTAGTCTCCCCTGGTCTCCCAGCTGTGTGCGTCACCTTTTAGGCCCAATCCCAAACCACTCCCTCGAACCTACCCCTCCGTGGCGGAGTGAACTCCGTCTGTAGCCACACTCGCAGCTCAACGAGGCTCCCTCCTGTCAGATGGAGGGAGTAAATACAGCGGCAAGCTTTGGGACAAACTCCCCTCTCTCCGGCAGAAACAGGAAATGCCGTAACTGTATGTAACAACGGTTTCAAATCAGCATCTCTTAGACAAAAAATGTAAATTAAGAACTCAAATAAAACTCCAAACATCTTTCATTGTGTTACTTTTTTGTAAAGCTCTTTTAGTTTTAAACCTGATGTTTATAAGCTTCTTAGTTTTTGCAACAGTCTGTAAATATACACAACTTTATAATAAAATGCACACATTTACCTTGTTCTAGACTAAACACAGGTATGATCCTAAGTTAAAAAAATATGAGGTTATCATGAGGTTGTTAACATCGCAATTTATCAGTGGATGTTTGCTGGAACTACTTGTAAACAGCGTGTTTCCTGACGGACACACACAGCGTGACTCCGGTCAGGTAGAGACCAGTCTCAAGTCAGCACCAATGCAGACTCGCTGTTTGAGGGCTTGATAGCCCACTCCCCCTCCACACCTCTCCACACTCGTTGGTTTGGAACAGCACTTAATGTGGCGGACCCTCCGCGCGAACGCGCAAACGGAGGGGTAGTGTGTAGGGGTAGGGTGTAGGGCGTGCTTTGGGATTGGGCCTAAGTCTCCCCTGGTCTCCCAGCTGTGTGCGTCACCTTTTAGTCTCCCCTGGTTTCCCAGCTGTGTGCGTCACCTTTTAGTGTCCCCTGGTCTCCCAGCTGTGTGCGTCACTTTTTAGTGTCCCCTGGTCTCCCAGCTGTGTGCGTCACTCTTTAGTGTCCCCTGGTCTCCCAGCTGTGTGCGTCACCTTTTAGTGTCCCCTGGTCTCCCAGCTGTGTGCGTCACTTTTTAGTGTCCCCTGGTCTCCCAGCTGTGTGCGTCACTCTTTAGTGTCCCCTGGTCTCCCAGCTGTGTGCGTCACTTTTTAGTGTCCCCTGGTCTCCCAGCTGTGTGCGTCACCTTTTAGTGTCCCCTGGTCTCCCAGCTGTGTGCGTCACTTTTTAGTGTCCCCTGGTCTCCCAGCTGTGTGCGTCACCTTTTAGTGTCCCCTGGTCTCCCAGCTGTGTGCGTCACTTTTTAGTGTCCCCTGGTCTCCCAGCTGTGTGCGTCACTTTTTAGTGTCCCCTGGTCTCCCAGCTGTGTGCATCACTTTTTAGTGTCCCCTGGTCTCCCAGCTGTGTGCGTCACTTTTTAGTGTCCCCTGGTCTCCCAGCTGTGTGCGTCACTTTTTAGTGTCCCCTGGTCTCCCAGCTGTGTGCGTCACTTTTTAGTGTCCCCTGGTCTCCCAGCTGTGTGCGTCACTTTTTAGTGTCCCCTGGTCTCCCAGCTGTGTGCGTCACCTTTTAGTGTCCCCTGGTCTCCCAGCTGTGTGCGTCACTTTTTAGTGTCCCCTGTCTTTTGGAACATTTGTGTTTTTATATTTGTATCGTTTGCAAGCTGCAGCGGGTTTCTCCTAATGGAAATGTTTCTGGCGGTTGTAGCACGTTTGCAACTATCAAACACCGTATTAATTGGCCTAAAATGAATTTAAAACTGTCTCATGTTGCCTATAAGCGTTAACAACCATTTATATACTTTGAAAGCCTAAAATCAGTCAAATGACTGAATCACACATTGTAAGGACCTGTTCAGCCAATGAGAGGTGATGTTCTCTAATATGTTTAATCTGAATGAGTGTTTGCATGCGCAGTGTGAAATTATTTTGGTGTTTTTTTATGTATCTTTGCCAATTCTTCACAAATTCTTTGCACTTTAGTGAAAGCAGGGAAAGCAACAAAGGGAAATGAATGGTTTGAATACAGGTTTCATTTATGTGTGGGAGAATTTGATTTCTGCATTTTCATGTAGCAGTAATGGTGACAAATGCAATCATCAACTTAACTATCATAGAGTGGCGAAGTCCCTCCCCTTCCGGTGGACCTCCATGGGACCTTATTTCGGAAAAGTTATGCATTGAAGTCAATGGAGAGAGAAAGATTATCTTTCGATCCCGTTTGAATTGTGCCACGAATTACACATTTGATGTTTGTCAATTTAAAAGATAATTTTGCAAGTCAAAAAAAAAAAAAAATGTGTCGTAAAACTGTGAAGTAACACATTTGTTTGTGTGAAACGCTCAATGAACTACATCTCTGGTCTCACAGAACAACACACGTCACCAATATGGCCGTCACTACTGTCTTGTCAACAAAACGATTGACTACCCTCACTATCACCACAATGAAACACGTCCTGAAGAATGTCATGCAAAGCTGCCTGCCTGCCTTCCTTTGATTCTCTCTGAACTGCCTGGTCGTTTTAATGTTTAATGTCAACCATTTGTGCAGATAGCATGAAGTAGAGAAGATCGCCGATGCTAACGTTAGCGTTAGCATTTCTCCCCCGGGCTTAAATGGTGTATTATAGAATGATCACACCGGTGACAGTACTATTCAAAGGGTTCACGAAATATGACTACTACTCTTACTGTTTAACATGTTGGGTTACTTAATGTTACTTCATGTTAAGGCTAATAAAAATGACAAGGCTGTAATGCTAACTAACGTGCTAGCTACTAGCTAGGTAGCTAACTTGATCAAGCCACTCCTGGTCCTTTCATCAGACGGGAAGCAAAAGAACGAGCAAGACCCATTGCTGGTATAATAACAACCTGGTACTAAGCACACAGGCATCTTGTTAAAGTTATCTTATCTTAGCCAGCGCCATATAGATAGATTATATCTATATGGCGCTGATCGTATATATACGGTATTATACGTATATCGTAGTGTCTCAATTGTGACATCACTTACGCGACTCTGGGATTTTTAGTCTTTCTAGTTACGTATTTTTCATAGTCTTATATTTCAACAGTTTTACAACAAACTGTGACTTTTTGACATGGAAATTATTTTTTAAGTTTGACAAACATCATATGTGTAATTCATGGCACAATTCAAACGGGATCGAAAGATACGTTTTCTCTCCCCATTGACTTCAATGCATAATTTTTCCGAAATAAGGTCCCATTACCCGGAAGTAAGTGGGCGTGACTTCGCCACTCTATTAAGATTAATGTAATTTAAAATAATAATATCATTCAGTGAACTATAAGGTGCATTTTATGGTCTACATCATATTTTCCTTTTGAATCATTTTAAACAAGTCTCTCTATATTACAGTGGACATACAGTGAAATACAAAATAATTGATATTGCAAAGGTTACGCTTTAAAGGTCCCCTATTATGCTCTTTTCAACAATATATTACAGGTCTCAGATATATACAGAACCTGTCTCTGATTGGCTGAAACACCAAACAGATCATTGCAGCATTACCCATAATCCCCTCTGTTTCAGCCCTGTTTCAAAAGTGCTGATTCTGTGTCTGTTACTTTAGATGGAAATAAGGAGCCCCTCCCCACGCCCCTCTGAGAGAGATTTGGTTAAAAAAAACACAATGGTGCTCTAGGAGGAGATTCAGGTGATAAGGGGGGGGGGGGGGGGGGGTTACCTTGGTTGGTGATTGGCTAATGGTTACACTAGACAAAACATCGTTAGAATCTCTTTACACAGAGGGGACACATGGTGATGTAGAAGAGACATGAAGAAGAGGGGACACATGTTGATGTAGAAGAGACATGAAGAAGAGGGGACACATGTTGATGAAGAAGAGACATGAAGAAGAGGGGACACATGTTGATGTAGAAGAGACATGAAGAAGTGGGGACACATGTTGATGAAGAAGAGACATGAAGAAGAGGGGACACATGTTGATGTAGAAGAGACATGAAGAAGTGGGGACACATGTTGATGAAGAAGAGACATGAAGAAGAGGGGACACATGTTGATGTAGAAGAGACATGAAGAAGAGGGGACACATGTTGATGTAGAAGAGACATGAAGAAGAGGGGACCACATGTTGATGTAGAAGAGACATGAAGAAGAGGGGACACATGTTGATGTAGAAGAGACATGAAGAAGTGGGGACACATGTTGATGAAGAAGAGACATGAAGAAGAGGGACACATGGTGATGTAGAAGAAGACATGAAGAAGAGGGGACACATGTTTGATGTAGAAGAGACATGAAGAAGTGGATTTTGCATAATAGGGGACCTTTTAAAATGTGTGTTTCTGTTTTGTCCAATAAGAAAGAACAACATGTTATATTGTAAGCTAACAGAAAATAAGTTATAATAATAAGATATCTGTTGGCAGTCATTTCATTCTGCAAAGCACATTTAAAGTTCAGACTGAAGGGAAAACAGAAGTTTGATGGTTTTGTTTT